ACGGTTATACTGAAACAAACCGCGATGAGTGTTGATAGTAAGCAGCTCTTTAGATGCTTCATCGACTTCCACTTGCAAATAAGCATCAGCTAGGTCAAGCTTTGCGAAGAACTTTCCTCCATTCAGCATAGTGAACAGATCTGCTGGAACTGGCAGAGGATAATGATGCTGTTCTAGAGCTGCGTTGAGACCTGTAGAGAAGTCAGCACATATACGTATCGTTCCGTTGGCCTTCTTGATAACGACTATAGGTGCTGCCCAACTGGAGTAAGAAACGGGAGTAATAACTCCTTGTCGTTGAAGGCGATCCAGCTCTTCATCTACTGTTGCTAATGTAGCATACGGTACAGGTCTCTTTGGACGAAAAGCAGGCTTAGCCCCATGTTTCAACCGAAGTGTTGCTTTCATAGCAGTGCACCGACCTAATCCAGGTTCAAAAATGGTTGAAAACTCTGTCATCAGCTTCTTCGTATACGCTTCTGGGTCATGTCGTTGTGATACCAGGTTGCATATGGTATTTAGCGGGACATCAGCCAATTTTAGCTGGTCGAACCAATCTAAACCAAGTAAATTTAGATCAGCTGGCGTTATATAGCATACCCCAGTAAACGACGAATCCCGGAAAGCAACTTTACATTCCAATTGTCCTAACAGACGAAGATAATTACCACATGCTGTGCGAGGCTTTTGTGTTGTGTGCTGCAGGCTTGGGCTGCCCAACTTGGTCCAATTTTTGCGTGAGAGGATAGTGACATCAGATGCAGTATCTATTTGCATTCTACACAAATAACCGTTAATATTAAGAGTAATAAATTTCCTCTCACCTGGTGATGAACTTTGGCAGGAAGATATTAGGCTCAATGCATTGGTACTGGATCTAGGAACAGGCTTCTTAGCACTTCTGGATCGCTTTGGCTTTTTCTGTAGGCAAAAGCCATCTTTATGACCGATGACTTTACACTTCCTGCATCTATGCTGCCTAAATGGGCAGTTCCGTACATAGTGCCATGAACCGCAGTGCCAGCAAGCAGAAGGTGGATTCATTTTGGATTTTTGGGCCGAATTGGAGCGGGGTGAACTGGGTGTAGCACGGGCAGACTTATAATGATTAGGTGGCTGCTGTACCAAATGAATTTCAGATCGGCTTGAACTACCACTCTGAACTATAGTCGAGTCTCGTTGTAGGTTAGTGAGACGTTGGTACTCATGAGCCATATCATTAAGCGTAAGCTTTGGATCTTGCTCCAACCGACTTAGTAGCCTTGTTCTAATGTCACTAAACTTACTCGACTGGAGGCTGCAGATGAGTATAAGGGCTTTGAACTGGTCTTCCGACAAAGACTTCAACCGAAAACGTTCGCATTCACGGTTGACGATGCCCACGTGCGTAAGAAAATCATCATCTTCGTTCATAATAAGCTTCAAACATCGATAACGAGTATTAAATAGTGACGAGTTGTCTCCAAAGTGTTGGCTTAAAGTCTGGACAGTCTCAGAAAACGAACAATCTCGTGGGTTCAAAGGCAGGATCAAATTACAGTACTTATCCAGCTCACTTGCGCCCAACTTTCGAAGTAGCAGCCGAACCTTCCAAGCATCATCTTGGTTGGCGAAGTCAAATTTAAATAAATCTTCATAACGCCGGAACCACATGTCAAAAGTGACATTCGCATCAGGATCATAATGAAATTCAGATATGCTATTTGCGATGCCGTCGACCGATGGAGCTGTGGTTGCATTAGATGAGCTGGGCTGTGTGGAAGGGGAAATCTTCATGTCTGTCAACATCTGCATCAGTTTCAGCTGCTGCTCAAGTAGTAATTCGAGTTTGGCAGGATCCATATTTCCAAAAGCACCGTCGCCACTGATATGTTCGGCACTTAGGATGCTTGATGCTATTACGAGTTTACCTTAGTCGATAAACGCGAACGAGACTTTTACCAGCTTCCAGGAAGGCTACCCTGAATCCAAACGGGAAAACAGAAGTCTTGGTAAGAGTAGAAAGTATATTCTACAAGCACCCAGCAATCCAGTACAATCAAGCATACAACTCTCGTTTATTTATACAACATAACAACGTCCTTGAGACAGTTAAGAAAATAGCATACTAAAATACACTGTGGCCAATCACAGCCATTGATTTTCCTGGTGGGAGTTGAAATCTCAAGGTCATTTGATCAGCCCCTGCTGGCGAACGTGAAAACCGAAATACGGCATTATCAAGCGAATTTTGGGGATCTAACATCCCCAACATCTACATAGGATTGATTGAAGTGATTCTGTTGGTTTGTGTGCTACACCTTTACCAATTGGTTTCAGTAGTCGGGCTGTATGCTCCGATATGTCTTTTATGTATGGTAGAATGATCCGTCTATTGGTTACTGTACTTGATTTCGCTTCTGCTGATGATTTTGGTTGATGTTTTTTGATGAAGTAACGTGCAAAGCCTTTCTTTTGGAAGATAGTTATAAGAGGCTTTTCCTCGAACCCATTATTATTATGAGGAAAATGTAGTACTTATTGACAAAACCATATAACCTAAGGACTGATGAATGATCCCTAACAAGTTGTTTCATACTAAGCAGGATAAAACATTCTTCAAGTATTTCATAGACTTCAGTGATAGTTTAACTCAAGACATGAATGGATTGACGATAGACCACTATTGGAAACGTGGAAGTATTAGAGATGGCCGTTTCGTTCTAGTGAATTATTTTATCGATCAGAAAAGGTGTATTGGTTGATAGTTGAATAACAAATATGCCAGACTATTTTATGTATGTATCTCTTTAATTTATAAGTCAATCAACTCGAAAGTTTCAAACGTTTATTCAATTTTGTGTTGTTTTTTCGACCATTAAACTGATACCGACAGGCATAAATCCATGAAGTCACTGACAAGTGGACTGAGCTATGTTAATAGGTGTAGACTACCTGGTTAGAGTACGCGAGATGGTAGTAACCGATTGTTAGAGACTTTGAATGATATGGCTCAAAACCATTTGCAATGGCGCAGATACATCCATTCTAAGTGTCCTCTGAAATACTAATCTTCTGAATTCCTCATGACTTTCATCTTTCTCTTCTTAAAATTCATATTGACTGGATTGTTGTACTTTCTGAATTATGTCTTCGATTCTTAATCTTTTCGACTACCGCTAATACTTCTACTACATAAAGCAAGATAGGATTTAAATTGACGATTCGATCTCTGCATGCTAATGTGGTATGGCAAATTGTAATTTACACCATGAATAGGTTTTCGAGCTAGAAAATCGATGAAAATTACAAAATACCTTTAGATTTCATGGTAGGTTTGTTTTGCTGTTTAGAATCCTAAATTGATGAGAAAGGTAACTTGAATAGCGATACAATATCTGAACCATTCAATTACTTGCTTACTTACTTACGCCTACTGCCCCCAGTGGAGCACAGGCCGCCGACTAGTATTCTCCAACCTACTCTATCCTGGGTCATCCTTCCTAATTCTATCCAACTGTTCTTCATTCTTCTCATGTCTGTCTCCATTTCTCGGTGTAATGTGTTCCTTGGTCTTCGTCTTTATCTTTGGCCTTGATGATGCCGACTGGTCCTTTGTCTTGAGATAGAAAAATGGGGATCGAACAATATTTAGTTTCTAAACTAATTTATAAACCTTATTCTGTTGTAGTGCCTCCACCTATATTCCAGTTCGATTTCATCTATTTTGGTTAAGCCCTTTCGATTAATTGATTTAACCTAGCCATTTGTATTGAACAATTTACCATTGTTTCTTATTACTGTTTGGCTTGTATGAGCTCATGGGACTTGTCCCACTTATCATTTGACCTTGTCAACTATTCGTTGCTTCTATTCATGTGTGCTTATTTTTCTTGTCACATGTCTGTCTTATATTTGTCTGACTATATATACTTAGTCACGCTCTATCTCTTGGACTTGGCTTATTAGCCTTCTCCAACGCGCTTCGCCTGTACATTCGTTTCCTTCGCCCATTCGTTCGCATTGTAATCCTAGGAGTTGTTGACTCAACAGCTTTCTCCAATCCACGTTACTTCATCCCTTTTATTCGCTGCTTCTTCGCATCGCTTTGTGGTGTGTCTCAAATAAACGTATTCAACAACACTACGAGTTCGCCTTCTGATTTATAAACCGTCAGACGCTATTTAGTAACGATTGTCTGTCAGTTGCAACGTAGAACTTCGTACGTAAGTACATCAATTCAAGTTGCCATACCACATCAGCACAGAGATGCAACTGTCAGTTCAAATCCAAGAATGATAGCGATAGTAGAAGTATTAGCAGTAATGAAGAAGATTAGGATTCGAAGATACGATTCGAGAAGTATAATTCAATGAGATAAATTTAGAAGGAGAAGGAGAGAGATTATGATGAATTCAGAAGGTTAGAATAAGAGAGAGCACAAAGAGTGGATGCATCTGCGCCATTGCAAACGATTCTGAGCCATGTCATTCAAGGTCTCTAACTATCGGTGACTGTCGTCTCGCGGACCCCAACCAGGTAGTCTACACCTACCAACATGACTCAGTCAGTCCACTTGTCAGTGACTTCATGGATTTGTGCCATGTTTTGTTCTGGCCGCCCCTGGAGATAAGGGAGGTATTAGGGATGTAGGAAGGATTTGATTTTGACCAATTTTGTCTCTCGTGCTGTTACGGGTATGAGGGCGGTTATCACTTCGCGGCTGCCCACACCGTGGAAGAGTAACGATTGTCTGGACGAGTTAATTACTGAGCTTAAGAACACGCAGTAAATCGACACACTACACTGTATACGTTTGTTGTTGGTGTTTCAACTAGTCTCCAAACTAGTACTGTCTACTCCTCAAAAAAGAAAACAGCTTTTGGAAAATAAATCTAACTTGTATCAATTCGTAATTTAGATAAAATTCCCTAACACTGTTGAAAAACACTTTTCTTTTTAATTCTAATTTTTGTTAGGGACCATTTGATGAACTATCGACTCAATTCAATCATTTCACAATGACAAATAAAATTGATTTAGTACTGACGTGTTTATTGGAAGTTTGCAATCCATTTCATTTGTTCATTGATCAAACGTACTCTTCAAAAATGGTAAGACCGCAATGTGAATTTTTTCTAAAAAATATTTTCATTTATATTAGCGTTTTGCGTTTTTTTGATGGGATGCGGTCGCCAACCCCATGTCCTACCTACCCTCCTCCTTTATCCAGGCTTGGGACTGGCAGTAGCCGCGAAGGTTCTACTGGCGGAGTTTTTCATTTCTATTGAAAGATATACTTAATTTATTCATAGAATTATAGTTTAATAATCATGAATCAGTCATAGTCAGACTGATTAATGAGTAAGATCAATCTGATTGAGATGTGAAGGCGCGAATAGGCAGTATTTCTACAACTGAACAACATCTGGAACTCAAAACACCAAAGTCACAATTTTCAATACAAATATCAGGACAGTTCTACTGTATGTGGAGGAATCTTGTAGAACCTCGAATTTCATCATCCGGAAGATACAAGTGTTTATTAACTGTCAATCTACACACGATACTGAGGATCTGTTGACCAGACACCACCAGCAACAACCTACTGTGGGAGAGAAAAAATCAGATTCCGGCAAAGGAAGAAATCAGGAAGAAGCGGTGGAAGTGGATAGGACACATATTGAGGAAAGCAGCTAACTGCGTCACAATACAAGCTCTTACTAGAAGTCCTCATGACTAAAGGAAAATAGGCAAACCAGAGAACACATTAGGCCAAGGAATGGAGGCAAACATGAGAAAAATGAACAGCAGTCGGATAGAAATGTAAAGGGAGTCCCATGACAGAGTAGGTTGGAGAATATTGGTGTAAATTTGGAGTGTAAATTAGCATAATACAATCTTCGGCGCCTGCCTCAGTCTTCTCACTATCACTAGTGCTTTAATGACGATAGAATGATGAGGCCTTATATTTTGTAAAAAAATGTTTTCCTCATTTCTGTTTCTGTCAGGGAGATTAGATCCCCAGGAAAAAGCTTGGAAAAGGTCCTAATTTTGGATTTTTTATGTTTTCGCGCATAAGCTGCTTAGTTGACCTTGAGGTTACATTTCCCACTTGGAAAATCTTTGACCGTCATTGGTTGATAGATTATTTTAGTATGCTATTTTTATGGCTCTCCCAAGAACATTGCTATCATTGTATAATTCAGCTTGATTTGTGTGCTTAACAACCTCATGTCTTCTGGTTGCTTGTAGAATATATTCTCTAAGCCTTATCAAGACTTCTTGCTTTTGTCAGCCGGAGCTGGGACGACGGACTGGAATAGTCGATCCTGTCAGTGTATCATTTGCCAAGTAAGGTGACCTCGTAATAGTTTCAAGCATATCAACTAACGAGCATATCAGTTTAATATTTATTGTACAAATGTGATGATTAGCGATTGAGATGTGGGCTGACAGACACCAACAACGGTCAATTAATAACGACAACATTACATAGAACACTCTATTTGCACACCATCTTTGAGTCCTGACTTCCAACGCTCCATCCTTCTTCCATTCCTGTTGTTGCTTCCTTTCCTTCCTGTTGGTACTCCATTTACTTCTTGCTTTTGCTCCATTTGCTTTCCGTTTTCCTCTTCTGACCGTGAGACTTCTTCTTTCACGTCCCTTCTTATACTACTTATATCATTCGTATAAGTAGCACACACCACATAATAAGATTCGCTCGAATATATCTAGTCCGGAGTTAATGTAATTTTGATCACCTATCGTATCATTCATTGTCTAATAGTAGTAGTATTACTTACAAATAAGATCAGATCATTAATAAATCATTTCCAACTTTTGTAATTATTATAATTATTTTGTAGACATTTCAAATAAAACCATTTGAATCCAAGGAAATTACTGTTTCATTTAATCCAAAGTATAAAGATGATTTGTTTAGTCGAAGAGCTGATGAATTATTATTTATTAAATATGCTGAACATCCACAAATTGTAAGTTACATTGTTCAATGATAAATATTTTTTCATTTACTCATTAAAATCATGAATTGATCAATGTTAGACGACCACCATTAGAAGAAAGCAGTGGAAGCACCGAAAGACGGCCATTCATTCATTCATCAGAGGGCGAATTCGAAGTATTAAATACGTTAATATTTTGGACACACCATATAGCGAAGTTGAAAAGCAGCGAAAGAATGAGAGAAGGAAGTGAACGAATAGAAGAAGCGCATTGGAGAAAGCTAAGAGCCAACTCAAAGAAATAAAGCATGACTAAGAATACAAAGTCAGACAAATATAAGACAGACCAACAAGCGAAATAGGCACACATTGAACAAAGAGACGAATGATTGACAAGGTCAAATGACACGTCATGTGAGCCCATACAAACAAGACAATAATAAGAACGAATGATACATATAAATTGTTGATACGCGAATGGCTTGGTTAAATAGATTAATCGAAAGGGCTTAACCAAGTTAGATGTAATCGAACTGGAATATATGTGGAGGCCCCTAGACTTCTTCGAATTCGCTTAAAAAATGTGTCTTAATTACATTTACAGCTGGACTTCGATTTGATAATTTTCTGAAATATCCTTGAAAAAGTACCTTTTAGTCATCAGCTCGCTGACTTTTTCAATACTTTATTCTATGCTACTGATAAATAGTAAGTAGCTTGAATTAGTCAAAGTATTTCACACGGTATTTTTCTGACTTAGCAATCTTCCTTACGTCAGATACTGTTTGCAGTTTGTTTATATTGGAGGAACCTTCTTAACCTCAAAACATGGTGTTTAATTCATTTCCGTAGATTGGATCCAATTCGATTAGAAGGTTCAACTGTAATTTGATCCTTGATCACTGTGCTTTTAATCGGTTAACTCATACGATGATGGCGTATGAAAAGTGCATATGCTTATTTGACGTTTCATGGGGTATAACAACGAACAAATGTTGTTTTTGTGTAAAACACTACTAAGCTCTAACAGATGTCCAACTTCAAATATTACGTTACTATTCTCCATGAGCTTACCTTACTTGTAGTTTTTTTTATAACATATTTCATTATAAAGTACAGAACTTTGGTTGCCTAACACCTTTGATTGATCAAAATTAGACATCAATGCCGTTGAATGGCGACGAGCTCATTGCGCTAGAGGTTAAGCGTTCTCATGTGAGACCGATGGTCCTCAGTTTGATTTCTGTCTGCAAAGGTCGTGGATGAGCACTGCTGATGAGTTACATACTTGGATGAAACGACCGTCTAGTGCTTCCAGGTTTCTAATAGTGGTCTAACATTGATCGATTCATGATTTTAAACAGAAAAATATCGACGGTTTACGGAGTATATTATAAATGTACAAATGTCTACAGTCATTCCGCGTCAACTGCTTTTATTTCTTTTTTTTTAAGCGGATAGACAGACAGATAGTAAAAAAATATGTCCTGTAAGATGATTTATAACTTGACCAAATCTTTTTTGAGTTCTCATTTGAGGATACAATTTTGAACTACTCAAATATAGTTAGTAGGTAGTTAGGCTAAGTAAAAAAATATTGAAAATCTTTGTCGTTTTATCCATATTTCTTACTTTTACTACAAATTATAGGATGCAGTACGTTTAATTGGTGAAGTACATTTTCCAAATGTTCAATTCAGCTCTAAATTAATCGATTTCGGTTGTATATTGAATAATACAGAAATGACAGAACATTTAACTATGAAAAATATCAGTCCTTTACCAGTGAAATTTCGTTGGAGTCTACTAATTGGTGATCGACCAAATATTATATTTAAACGTCAAGCTCGATTAACAGAACATCCTGTTATTGTAAACGATACTGAATTAGAGCATTATGATGCTACTGACAATAAAAATGCAGAACAAATTACAATGCTTGAAAATAATTTACAAGATACTTGTACAAATGATACTGACCAAATAGAACATGAAACCCAAATCCAAACTGAACAACAAAATGACTCAGATCAAAATCTACCAGTTACAGAGATCAATAAACCAACTGATGAAAATACATCAGCTGACGAGAATCTCAATACTAATTCATCTTCTCCTGACAATCGAATATTACGTAATCTAATCGAAGAGGATGAAGATATTGTCCCGTTAGGTATTGAAGAATTATTCGACCTAGTGCCACTTTATGGGGAAATTAATCCAGGTGAAACTATATCTTTAAGTTGTACATTTTATGGACATTCAGAAATTGAAGCATCAGTATTAGCTTTATGTGAAATTGAAGGTGGTCCTGAGTATAAAATTGAATTAAAAGGTTCTGCATCAGAAATTGATTTTCAACTAGATCAAACTGATCTGGATGTTGGTTATATTCGATTAGATAAACCAATGTTTTGTGAATTTAATATTTTAAATACAGGAAAAGTTCAATTTGAATTCAACATTCAATTAACATCAAAATGTACACAGTTTGGTCAATTTAAAATTGAACCATTCTATGGTCAAATCAATGGAAATCAATCACAACCAATTCGAATTACTTTTCTGCCATGTAGACCAGGTTATTTTGAACAAGAATTCACTGTTCAAATAGCTTATTTCTTACCAAAACTAATTAAAATACACGGAATAATTGACTTTGCTCATTTAAATTTGAATTTACCGCGTGGCGGCATGATTTCGTCGGACGACGTTCAACAATCATTGAACAATGATCAATTGTCAATAATAGATGAAGAAACCGCACATTTTAATGATCCTTCTGTTTTCTACCAGTTGACGATGTCCAAATTACTCAGTGATTTACATCATGAAGTGATCAATTTGATAGATTTATGGGAAAAACAACAAACTATGCCCATTGTCTGTTTATGTCAAACAGTATTTTCCGATACAACACATACATTATTGATTGAATCTGTGAAAAATATCAATTTAGATCGAATATTTATGCATGATGCCAATTGTCCGATTACTAAAGCAATAAAACAATATCTGACAAGTCATTATTATACTGGAATAAACAATTTTCCAGAAAAACTATTCCATCTAATTCCTGATTTGAATTTACAGTTGGATGCAGAACGTGCATATATTTGTAATCTTTTAGATACTATTGAATCCAATGAATTGAATATTAGAAGTAGTATCAATGATGAGAACAATGTTCAATGTAATAGCGATAACGATTGTTTAAAAATGATTACAGAAATTGAAGAACAAGTTAAACCTTGTTTTGTAAAAAAGTAAGTTTTTATGTCGGATAGTTGAAGGCAGTCGTCACAAAGGAAATCTCTGTTTGAAAAAAATTTGAGCTACTTAAACATTTATCAGTAGTGTTATTTTAAATTTTAAAATAACTAACCAGTATTTTTCTATAAGGATTCCTAAACCTATCAATCCAATTTCGGAAACTTATGCAATATCACCTGGTGACACAACTGATCAATGACCTCATATATGACTGAAAGGTTGTTATGATTGCGAATCTTTAAATTCGATTAAACTCTGTAGATTACTTTTTTTATTCAGCAAATTAGATATAAGAGTAGATGTGCTTATGAGATGTTGTCTGTGAAAGTTATTTCGAAATCTAAATAATGAACTGATAAATGTTAGATCATCATTGGGAACTTGGAAGGAATGAACAGTCGTTTCAGTCCAGTATGAGATTCCTCATGACCTTCGGAATGGTGGTCGAACATTGATGGATTCGTAATTTCAACGAAACTCAGTAACCTTCACAACCCTATACTGAAAGATCTAACTAAGCACAAAACCAAAGTGAAGTTCAACTTATATCACAGATTAGTTCAGTGGAACTAAGTACAATCCCTGGAACAATACGTGGAAAAATCTTTTTTGCATATGACCTAAAGCAAATCACTATGTTACTATTCGAATAAACCTGTACTTTTAACATCGAAATTGAAATTAAATACAAATATTACTATTTGGTTATTGAAGATAGTCAACATTCAAGATCTATGGAACACACAGATGCTCAAACATATCGATGCTATAAATACGTAAGCCAGTCAGTCAGTCAGTCAGAAACAACATAAAACTTGGTACGTATGTACATCTTTCTCTTTCTCCTGGTGATCAACCGGATTATGAAGACGTCGACGTCTGGAGGGAAGCATGGTATCAACTGGACAGTTAGGACGCAGCTCGACGATCTGGACTTCGCAGATGTCCTGGCTCTTCTATCGCACACTCAACAACAAATGCAAGAGAAGACGACCAGTGTAGCAGCAGCCTCTGCAGCAGTAGGTCTCAACATAAATAAAGGAAAAAGCAAAATTCTCCGATGCAACACAACATGCACCAACCAAATCACTCTTGATGGAGATGCCTTGGAGGACGTTAACACCTTTACATATCTTGGCAGTATCATCGATAACCAAGGTGGATCCGATGCAGATGTGAGGGCGCCGATTGGCAAAGCAAGGGCTGCGTTTCTACAGTTGAAAAATATCCGGAACTCCAAACAACTTTCAACCAAAAAACCAAAATCAGGATTTTCATTACAAATGTCAAGATAGTTCTAGTGTATGGAGCGGAAACTTGGAGAACTACCGAAGCCATGATCAAGAAGATACAAGTGTTTATTAACAGCTGTCTACGCAAAATACTTTGGATTCGTCGGCCAGACACGATCAGCAACAACGTACTGTGGGATAGAACAAACCAGATTCCAATGGAGGAGGAAATCAGGAAGAAGCGGTGGAAGTGGATAGGACACACACTACGAAAAGCACCAAACTGCGTCACGAGACAAGCCCTCACATGGAACCCTCAAGGTAAAAGGAAAAGAGGAAGGCCAAAGAATACATTACGCCGAGAAATAGAGAAAGATATGAGAGGAATGAACAAACATTGGACAGAACTGGAGAGGGAAGCCCAGGACAGAGTTGGTTGGAGAAAACTGGTGGGCGGCCTATGCTCCATTGGGGGTAACAGGCGTAAGTAAGTAAGTAAGTACGTATGTACATCATTTCAAGGTACCATCCTGCATTAGCAGATAGAGGTAAAACCGTCAATTCAAATCCCATAGTGGTAGAAGTAGTAGAAGTTTGAGCAGTCATCAAAAAGATTAGGGTTCGAAGATATTATTATTCAAGAAGTATAATCCAGTGATATAAATTTAAAAAGAGAAAGATAGAGGTGATGACGAATTCAGAAGATTAGAATTTGAGCGAAGACAAAGAATGAATGATATATCTACGCTATTGTAAACCATTATGAGCGATGTCATTCAAAATCTCTAACCTGAAGCATAATCTGGCTTGCTACTCAGTTGTCCAATCAAGCTGGATATACTACTGGAATTGACTATGATAGACTGGAGTTATTCAATTGTTGTCTTCATTAGAAATATTCTCAGAAGTAGACAGAAATGAAGAATTTGGTGAAATGATTATGTTACTCCGGCACGTAAACACGTCAACTTGATATACTTGAACTATTACGAGCGAGGGTCGAGGATCCAGTGGCACACGACATGCTACTCACATCCGATTATCCCAACCCCCATATTGAGTAAAAATAAGAAGACTTGAATGTGAAGTAGAACCTGCATTCTACAAGCATCCAGAATGTACAAGGTCCGAATCCAGAAGAGAATCACGATCCCGGGACCGGTTCCTGGTCTTAAAACGTTACACATAATGCGTATTTATACATTTTGATCGAATAGGAAACAGCATGGAAGTATGTGATATTGACAGTTAAGACGACCAATAGGAAACAACATTGGAGCACGGGACATTGACATCTAGTACGACCATAAAATTGACCAGTAGGAATTAACCAATAGGAACTAACCAATAATTCTCTTAGAATATTTTATGAACATCCCAACAGACTATAAAAGGTTGATAGGACATGTGATAATGATCCTCAATCCTGAACTCTAAAACAATGTTCAATGGATGGATTGAAGTAGTAGAAAAGCACACCATTCATTGCTGTGCGCAGAGTCGCAGTGAATTTCGCAATGTTCACGTAATTCTGTTTTACTCTAAGGATAATCAAGATAATCTCGTTCAGTCAGAATTTTTTCGACTAAACTTAAGCAAATCAAAATCAAATGTTCAATTCAAAGACAGTAATTGTTATATCAGTCATATCGGCTAGGTGTAAGTGATAGGGAGTTTTACTGACAACTTACTTACGTATGCCTGTTATCCCTGATGGAGCGCATAAGCAACCGACCAGCATTATCTAACCTACTCTGTCCTTGGCCTTACCTTCTAGTTTTGTCCAATTATTGTTCATTCTTCTCATGTCTGTCTCCATTTCTCGGCCTAATGTGTTCTTTGGTCTTCCTCTTCTACTTTGGTCTTGAGGATTTCAAGGGAGGGTTCGTCGCGTAACGCAGTTCGGTGCTTTCCGCAATGTGTGATCTATCCACTTCCACCGCTTCTTCCTGATTTATTTTCTTCCACAGTAGATTGTTGCTGATAATGTCTGTTCAACGGATTCGAAGTATTTTGCGTAGACAACTGTTCATATACACCTGTATCTTTTCGACCATCGCTTTCGTGTCTGTCCGAGTTTCCGCCTCATACAGTAGAATGTCTTGACATTTGTATCGAAAATTGTGACTTCCGTGTTGATTGATAGTTGATTTAAGTTCCAGGTGTTGCTCAATTCGAGAAATGCTGCCCTTGCTTTACTGCTCCGTGTTTTTACGTTGGCATTAAATCCACCTTGCTCATCAATGATGCTGCTGAAATACGTGAAGGTTTCCACGTCTTCCGGAGCTTCTCCGTCAAGTTTGATTTGGTTGGTGCTTGTTGTGTTGTATCCGATAACGTTACTTTTCTCTTTGTGCATATTGAGATCTACTGCTCCTGAGGCTGTTGCTACAGTGGTCATCTTCTGATAATTAACTTGTTGACTATTAATTATATTTCCACTTACTTACATAATCAAATTTATTCGACTGTCTTCTGACTGTTACACTCGTCACTAGGTATGCTTAAAACTGTTACAGGTTTACCTTAGTTGATAACGAGAACGAGACTAGGTTGGTTACTCTGATCTTTTGACTCAAGGGCACTAACGAGAAGTCTTGAAATAGCGTAGAAAGTGTATTCTACAAACACCCAACAAGCACAATGCATTCAAGCACACGAATTGCGTTTATTTATACTCCATACAGACTTCCTTGAGAGAGTCACTAAATAGCACACTAAAATTACAGTAACCAATCACAGCCAAGGCTTTTCCTGGTAGGAAATATGATCTCAAGGTCAACTGATCAGCCTATGCTCGGAAACGTAAAATCCAAAATAAGGCATTTATCAAGCCAGTTCTGGGGATCTAACATTCCCAACAATGACATAGTGAGTGAAACTCAGTCACCGGTGTTTCTCCCTTTTATTAGTTATCTTGATTAGTGGCCCACAATCTGATTCCGATTTGGACGAACGATTGGACATTCCATGAAACAAACCTCTACTTTGATTTCCGTATATCATTCTTAGGCGAATCGCGTTTTCTGCGATGGGGTTAATAAGAAGCTAAATATGGATTCGTTTGGATGCGTTTACTTCAAGCAATTGTTCACGTAGACAAACATGAGAAAACAAAGCGTAAAAGCAAAGAGAAGCGAAGTGCAGAAGGCGAGTGAGCCAACTTCATATGATGACGCTTGAATAAGTACTTATAGTCAGATAGAAATAAGCTAGTCGTGTAACCAATGGGCACACGCACCCAAGTAAAAACAACCAAGGTTATAAGCGAATAACGGACAGCACCGAGAGACGTGTGAATAGTAACTCAGGCAGTAAAGTTTAATTAATCTCTGAGGCCTCAGGTACACACACTATTTCGGGATGCGGTTTTCTCCCTCGAAATGCAAAATGTTGCTTCAAGATTGGGTTGCTTCGGCACCTCAACTAGTGATAGAGAGTGAAGTAGTCAAACGTGTAGATCGCTTCACATATCTTGGGAGTCTCATCTGTGCTGATGGCCTGGTGACTGACGAAATCTCAGCTCGGATACAGAAGGCTCGATTGACTTTTGCCAACCTGCGTCACTTATGGCGTAGGCGAGATATCCGTTTGCTGACTAAAGGACTAGTGTACTGCGCAGTGGTTCACTCCGTCTTTATGGCTATGAAGCATGGCCAGTGAGAGTAGAAGATATTGGTACGTTACTGGTTTTCGATCATAGGTGTCTTCGAAGCATTGCTCGTATATTGTGGGACAACCGAGTGAGCAACGCTGTTATTAGGAATCGAGTGCTAGGTAAGAATGGCAGATCAATAGACCCAGTAGTGACACTTCATCAGTTAAGGTGGTTGGGACATGTGTTGCGTATGCCCAACCACCGACTGCCTCGTTGAGCTTTGTTTTGTGATGTAGGAATAGGTTGGAAGAAAGCTAGGGGTGGCCAAACCAAAACAGCAGAAATCCATGAAGTCATTGACGAGTGGACTTAGACATGTTGGTAATTATCAACTACCTGGTTGGGGTCCACGAGATGATAATAATCGATGGTTAGAGACCTTGAATGACATGGCTGAAAATCGTTCGCAATGGTGCCGGTGCATTTATTCTTTGTGTTCTCTCAATTCCTAATCTTCTGGATTCTTCAACAACTCTACTTTTGACTTTCTAAACTTATCTCACTGAATCATACTTCTTGAATAATATCTTCTAATCCTAACCTCTCCGATTGTTCCTAATACCTTTACTACCTCTTCTTCTATTGGATTTGAATTGACAATTACATCTGTGTGCTGATGTGGTATGGCGACATCTGACACACACTATACTTGTAATCGAAACAGTGTTATTCTCGCTTCCGTTTTGTTTTTTATTGCCTTAAATATGAGACTGTTCAATGTTCACGATCAATAATAATCAATGTTCAATCAAAGTACAATTTCCAATTTATTTTTTTACTCTTGGCAGTTTATACTTGCCATCGTATTTACTTGATTTTGGCGTAGTTATCCTTGGTACAATTGTCAAACAAACTATCACTGTGGTCAATACAAATTATGAACCGATTAGTTTTCGTTTTGATACAACATCTTTATCAAAAGCGAAACAATTCGGTTTTAATATGAATATAACAAAAATTCATCATTTACCTGGTTCGCCGGATTATGAACCATTAGATATTGAAATTTCATTGGATACAAAACAGATGAACCAGTGCATAACCAATGAAAGTTTAATTCAAACAGAATTATTGATTAAAGTGAGTTCTTAATTATAATTTTTTTTTCTTCTGGGTATTTGGAAATTCTTGGAGTTCTAGTGAGAAGTGGTGTAGTCAGTAGTTAACTACCAAAGATAATGGGTGTGGTCAAGCCAAATTTTAGACTATTTAAAGTCAGACACCTTTGGATGCTGGCCAGCTCAGTGGTTGCGAGGTTATGAGTCCACATACTAGACTGAAGGTTCTCAGGTTCGATTCTCGCAAGTGAGGGTCCCTGGATACTCACTGCTGATGAGTCCCATACCTAGAAGAAAGAGCCATCCAGTGGTTGCAGGTTTCTAATGGTAGTCTAACAATGTTTTATGATTGGTATTAATAATATTATTATCAAGATATTGTGGTGCGAGCTACTTATAAGTAGTATATGACGTGAGTGTCAACGTAATGTCTGCCAGCCGAAGATGGGGGAAGATCAAGAGAAAGGAAGAGTTAGAACACAATGGAATTTGTATGAAACGCATGAATAGTGGTGACAATGGATTGATGTTTTGCAACAGGAACAGTCCAGTTCGATATGATAAACTGATATTTTGCAAATGAACGATTTACGATATGATTTTCCGATTTTACTGAGTAACTCTGTAATTTTCGTTAAATACAATTCGGTTGCCGCACCTGTGTTCTCCTTCACTACAAGGCCACGCAAAACTGTACACTAACGAAAGTTAGACATTAACACCGTTGGATACCGGCCAGCTTAGTGGTTTCGAGGTTGAGTCCACATACGAGACTGAAGGTCCTCAGATTCGATTGTCGCCTGTGAGGGTCTTGGATACTCACTGCTGATGAGTCCCATACCTAGAAGAAAGAGCCATCCAGTGCTTGCAGGCTTTTAATGGTGGTCTAACGATGTTTTATGATTAGTAATATTACTATTGAGATATAATTAACTGTCGAATAAAATAACCGTTCTATTACTTGTCTTGTTACAGAGAACTGAATTCATAATCAAAGGTAAAAACGTTCAACTATTTCTTACTGATCTAACTTTAATTAAAGCGTAATTAATGATTACGAGATTGAGGTTTTTAAAAAAAATATGTTCTTCATTACATGATTTGAATGTTTGATTGTTTTTTCAATTCACTTTTATTTTTATGAATGAAAATATATTTTGGAATTTTGAAATTCATCGTTTTCGCCCCAAGAAACGCTTAGTTGACCTTCAGCTTAACATTTCAAACTCGGAAAATCCCTGACAGTTATTGGTTAATGGATTATTTTGGCACGCTATTTTGTGGCTCTCACCAAGGGCCTTTTTATCATTGTATAAATAAGCTTGAGTTGTGTGCTTAGCTACCACGTATTTTTTTGGGTGCCTTCAGAATACATTCTCTACTCCTTATCAAAGACTTGTTGATCTAGGTAGCAGGGCCTTGGACAATCGGATGGGCATTGCCTATCGTGTCACTGAATCATCATTGATCTTTGTTCTGTTTACTGAGTAAGGTGAACTCATAATAGTTTCAAACATATCAAACGGTAACAAGATGAAATAGTCATCATTTTAATCCGTGTTGAAAATCAATGCAAGAGGAATTGAACTAATGTTTAAAATCCTATCGTTGAACTCTTCAATAGTTTGTAGTTGTTCGAATCGGTGATGATTATGAGCACGTTTACGTTCTGGTCTTTACTAGTTGTCCTGTCGTGAAGAAGAAATAGTCCAGATGGTTGAAGTATATTTGTTAGCGATTTCGTGGTATCGAAAGAATATCGAAATTGTGCCAGAGAAAATGGACAAAAAGGTACAAAGCAGCCAAAGCAAGATGGCGACCGCCCTTTCCACAAGTGCAAATAAACAAAATTATCAATAAAACGTCCCCTGTAACAATTGGTCATAATTATAATCAATCTTCGTAAAAGTGAAATCACTACAAGTTTGAAGTCATAACAGTGAAAGGGATAGAAATTCTAAATCCTCTTGGTCTATGAAGATAGACTGATTGATTTACGGACTACGGAGTTGAGAATTATAAACCAAAACTACAAACTCATTGTGGATAAATTCGAACCTGTCATGAATTTCGTCTAACGATTTGTGAACTCATCACACCTAATATAAATGTCCAAGGATTCCTAACTTTCATTAGAGCACTTCAACTAGTGTCAGTCTGTAATGAAAACACCTATACTATTATATAACACTATTGGGTTCGTCACTAGGTATGCTTGAAACTATTAAGGGTTCATCTTAGTCGATAAACGCGAACGAGACAATGAACCAGCGTCCAGATAGGCTTCCCTGATCTGCTGACAAATGAAAACTCTTGATGTAGCGTAGAAAGTATACTCTACAAACACCCAGCAATCACAATACAATCAAGCACACAAATCTCGTTTATTTATACATCATAGAAACGTCCTAGGGACAATCACAAAAATAGCACACTAAGATATACAGCAGCCAATCACAGCCAAGGATTTTCCTGGTGGGAAATGCGATCTCAAGGTGAACTGATCAGCCCATGCTCGCAAACGTGAAGTTTGAAATATTCTCACATTGATACCTCTGTTTCACATATTAACCTTACCGCATAATTCTAGGTACTCAATGGTCCTTCTGTAACAATTTGGCTTCGAGCTAAAATTATTAAACCAACTTTAACATCACATATCAATTCAGTGGATTTTGGTGCAGTTCAACGTGGTGAAGCACGTCTTATTACAATACAACTACACAATCCATCGCCTGTATCAATCAATTGGTATCGCACAACACCTGAACTACAACAACTCGGCAAAACCACTACCGACACAGTTCATCATCCAATCCGTGTTCATTATAATAATAAATCAGCGCGAAATGTATTGAAAGAGAAACAATTAAGAATTTTTGAATTAATACCAATGCGAGGAGTATTGGGACCGAATGAAAAAACCAATATACAGGTATATTTTCTCTTTAATTCTCTTTTTTGTAATGATTTAACTATATTAATGTGACATTCAAATGTAAATTGATCATTGAATAATGATGTAAGAAGGATTTTATTTTGACCAATTCGGTCTCTCTTGAGCTGTTATCGGTATGAGGGCGGTTGTCACTTCCCGGTTGCCCACACCGTGCAAGGGTGTTTCTTGAGGAACTTGAAAAGGAAGGTAGATCAATGTTGGTCTTAGAGACCTGGCAGCGCGACCGCAGAGTTCAAAGGACAACTGATTGAGGCCGGTCACACACAGCATTTTGATGAAAGGTTTTTGAAGTATTAGCTCCGCTCTTGAAAGCCCTTAGTGGGCACCCTTACTGCCGGAGACGGAAATCCATGAGGTAGGGTGAGGTGTGACATTTTTAGGGTCGACCTTTTCTAACCCTTCCTTCTTTGTGAGAAGGCAGTATCGCTGCAGATGCTGGTTGTCTGAGGGAAACACCTTACTGCCGTCACACTTCTCTGTAATCAGCAGTACGACTTCTCCCTCAGACCTTGATTAGCTGCTTTTAGTCTGATCGTTCTCCAATCGACCTGTCTGGCATGGTAGGACCTTCAGGAACATATGTTCCAGCCAGTATAGCTCGGCTGGGTCATCTCGATAGGCAAGCACGACCACAACGTCAAGGTAGCAGCTACGCTCGGTCTCACTGAATTATACTTTTCGAATCATATCTTCGCTCTCTACTCTTCTCCATGGCTACTAGTAATTCTACTATCGCTATCGCTCTTGGATTTGAACTGACAGATACATCTCTGTACTGACGTGGTATGACAACCTGGACTGATGCACTTATGTACGAAGTTCTGCGTTGTATCTGTCTGTCTGTCTGTCTGATCATTGAATGTGGACAATCAAGCACTCAGTCTTACTGACTAATGGGATTTTCGTTGAAATTAGGAAACGATCATTGGTAGACCACCATTAGAAGAAGCCTGGAAGCATTTGAAGGTCATTTCATTTTTTCAATGAAAATCAACAATCTACACAAACCTCTAATGACCATTGGAGTTCAACCCTGTCGAGTGCAGGCAGTTACTCACTGAAGACAAAGGTTAGGTTGCGCAATAACTTGGACTGGTCAAATTTAGAGATCAGTACCGCTGGATGCCGTTCGCGCTCGAGATCAAAGGCCCTAGATTCAATAGTTGAGTGCTGAGTCTGTGGATGGAAACTGCTAAAGTGTCTCATACTAGGGTGAGACGGCCATCCAGCGCTTCCATGTTCCTAATGTAGGCCTAGCACTGAGTGATTTATGTTTTCAATGAAACTCAACAATCCTCAAAAATGTATCATGAAAATATGTGATCTACTTTCGTCTCATTGATTTCTACTCTAGACTTATTGAGAATGACTGTCTGTACCTTTGTGAAGTAAAATAATGTCGGCCGCCTACTGTATCTAGTTCTCTATTTCAATTATGAATCTTGTTTCTAGTTTAACGTGATCCTAATTTCTGTGTAGTGTGTCATTCGAGTATCCGATCCAGTGGTAGTAAAACCTTGACCACTGATTCAGTCTCTTTATGGTGATACCATGGGTAACGAATATCATCAGTCAATCATTGTTAGACCACCATTAGAAGAAACCTGGAAGCACTGGACGGCCGTTTCGTCCTTGTGTCGAACTGATCAGTGGCAGTTCGCATCCGCGACTCCTGCACCTCGCAGGATTCGAACAATGATTGATTGATGATTTCAGTGTGTAAAAACACTAATCTCCGTATCTCTAATTGAGAAAATTGATAAAGAATATCTCGAAA